GCCACACATGACAAAGTGCATGCAGTAAAGGAAGGAGATACAATTAAATGCTCAGAATATTCCAGTAGATGGATAACCCAAAAAAACCTCTTCGTAGAAGAAACCACCGAAATACACTGAAAACCCAGGACGAAAACACAGTATTATTAAAAACAGAGACTACAAATCCGATTTTGTAGTCTTTTTGTAGTCTCCAATACAAGCGGACTTTAAAGCGGACATTAAACAGTGTAGTCAAGACTACAACAAAAAGTCGCATGCATTCTCGGCATTGCGATTCCCATGGGGTACGACATTCGGCATGCACCTTCGTTAAACTCAGGAGTCGTAATCACCCTCTTATCCTCTGCCCAAACAAAAGAGGAACATAAGTAGGTACCGCACATATTCAAACAAAGGACTCAACCCGACGACTATCATCATACAATGAATCCCGGACCGGATGGTTCAAGAAGTACTTGAGCAAAAACTCTGTGATGCAGAGGCGGTCTGGTAGTTGGTATAGCAGGTTAGTGGAAGGGCAATCGGGGGGAAAGGGAGGGGAAACGAGTCTACCTAGCTAGAAGTCGACACCCGCGAGGAGGATGTTACTTCCCCTCAGCAGATATATAGGGTGACTTATGCCGCCGAGACTACAGCATGGGGCACGCAACAAGCCCACCTAGGACAACGAACACAGCTGCTAGGGACAACCAACAACACCAGTCTCCACAGGAGCCGGAAATTGGTTTATCTCTCGTCAATGGAAGAAGAAAGATGACGGCAGAGGGAACACTTAGTGCAGCTCGAAGGGAACTTGGTTCAGCATATCATGGAACACCCATGCCGTGGTGAAGACAGTGATGATATCTGTGCTCCACGGAGTAGCTACCCTCTCTACAATGCTTTCAAGAGTAAAAAACACACCCTAACCAGATTACGAGGGGTACAGATCAAGCAACCTTTGTAGCAAACACATCCACTTGCAAGGTCCCACTGTCGAAGGCCGTTGCTGAACATTGATTAGAATACTGTAGTGGTGAAGGGACCTAGAGCAAACATGCATATGATGATTGCCAGCCAGAGAGGATGCTGGTGTGAGCAAGAGAGACTCAATGCAATCCTCCCAATAAATGATGGGACGCACATCACGTGCCCTGCACGTGCCGGTCATAACCGGCTTCTGCGAGCAGCGAGAGGGTAATTATACACTTTATGTATTATTACCCATATCTACCATGGATATGCCGTGTAACGGTTACATGCTCAGATAGAATATCATGATAGGTCTATGGTTCGAATCTTGCTAGTGCTTTAAGTTTTTGATCCTCCTTTCGGCTCGTGCCATCTGTCGCGGTCTCCAGCCTTTACTTTGACTTAAATGATGTTTTGATAGTCTTCCAGCTCGAATTCTATATGTTGATGTTTTCATCAGATAATGCTTTCACCCGGAAATTCCATTGTCTAATGAGCATGTGTACATTCAACCATTTGAGGTGTGAACCCTAGCACCAGCAAGGCATAAGTATGAGCTTGCATACTAAGTCTGCTCTATTAAAGCCCTCTTTCCTGAGCGATGAAAGACCCTGCTCTCCTATTAGACTTTACATAGTGCATACCTGGAGTGGCAGCTACAAGTAGTGTAAGACACAATCATAATATCCAATTTCTGATAATATTTATGCATATACAATGGCAGCAGGGCACCTGTAGCACATGGGAAGTCCCTTAGACAGTCTTTTCCGCCTCTCAATTTGTGGTCAGACACGGTTGTGGCACCTTCGACGTGCATGCCGCATGCGTGGAAAGGTATCACGTGACTTGCATCCCATAATTTATTGGGAGAATTGCATTCAGTGCAAGAGAGCACGAGCCGACCGCAATGAGATAAAAGTGGTCTGACTCACCAGCGGGCCTGCCAAAGATCGGAAGCAAAATAGACCGGTCCATGAGCTTTCTCAGAGCTGTATTTACGATCACCGAGGAGGAATGTAGACTAGTTATGAGTCCTGAGTTTGCGGAGGATGAGTCCTTACCCGCAAAATTGGGTGCGCCGAATGTTGTACCCCATGGGAATCGCGATGCTGAGAATGCGTGCGACCTTTTGGTTGTAGTCTTGACTACACTGTTGAACTTGTGAAGCACCGTCTGGCGCCGGCAACTTACCCCTCCTTTGTTCAAGAAATTGATTTTGAGAACTTGCACTAAGTTCCAGATGTTGTGGCTACTACAGGGGGTCAATAAATCCTTGTAAGGAGAGTATTTCTACCACGTAAGATGATGCAAGGGATATTGTTAGTGATATAGGGGACCTAAGTTCTCCCCGGTTCTGTTTCAGTCAAGCTCCATCTAGGGCCAGGTAGAATGTCCTGTGCTGTTGCATCCTAAATAGTCTAAGAGATACTTACCCCTCTCCAAGAATGCCTAATGGTGCATGTCTGTTGCCTGGACATCTGACATCTGTCTCACATCATAGTTTTGTCTTACAATCTGTTGGGCCTCATGATCATAAACCATGGAATGACATGGATTTTCTTAATTCTACATATTTGTCAATTGTCCATCACAGACTTATGTATGGAATGGAGACCCAGAAAACTAGAACAATTGAATACCCATGTTAGATGGAGTGCACATACACTTGAATCCTTCTCAGGCCATGGCATACAACACTCAAAAATTTTAAGGTACATTGTGGCATCCACAAACCACTAATTACGTGGTTGAGAGGGACTTGAATGTGAACATTGAGTTGGATTCCCGACCATGGCCAAGTCTAGTGTTTGGGGAGAAAGTTGGTAGTAAGTTACCTCCTGGTAACTTACCGGTAACTTACTGGTAAATTACTGTAAATTACCACCTGCATTGGAGGAGGGGTGCAAAAAAGTGTAAGTAAACACCGAACAGAAACCGTCCTTGCCTGAGTATGGTGGGATGCAAGAAGTCCTGTGACAAGTACCACAGTGTCAAACCAGTATTCAATGTGCTCAAGACATCTTCATGGTGCATTGAGGTGAAACCAACGAAAATCATGCGAAATTTGCTATTTCCGCTACACGCACGGCAATTGCTGAAGCAGGTAACTTACCATAACTTACATGGGTAAGAAATGACCTCCAGGAGGACCTATGTAACTTACCGGTAACTTACAGGCCAAGGACTTTCTCCCGGAACACTAGCCAAGTTCTTGTTCAGTAGTGGCACCACTTGAGCCAAACATAGCACGCCGGAGTTTGCTGGTGCGACAAAAAGTGCGACGCAATTCAAGGGTGCCAGTACCCCTCCCAAAGGAGGGGCATGTCCGCTTTAAAGTCCGCTTGTATTGGAAACTACAAAAAGACTACAAAATCGGATGTGTAGTCTCTGTTTTCAATATTACTGTATTTTCGTCCTGGGTTCTCAGTGTATTTCCGTGGTTTCTTCCACAAAGAGGTTGTTTTGGGTCGTCCATCCACTGGAATATTTTGAGCATTTTTTGTACCTCCATCTTTTACTGCATGCTTGTTGTTGTCTGTGGCATGTTCTTACTCTGGGAATGGACTTTTGTGGTGGTTTGTAGTCAGTGGCTGAGGCATATCGCCGCACCGGTTGGGATTCGATGGCTGTGATTGGCTGCTGTCTACTTATGATGCAACTTGAGTGCCTGTATTCAGAATAATGGTCACACTATGTCATTGTTGGGTGTCAGGTGTGACCTTTGTGCTTCGCTATGTTAGACTTATTGTTCAGTGCTTTGTGTGTTGGATGCATGTTTATGTGTAGTTGTTTTGTTTTTGTTTTTTTTGGTGTGTTGTACTGTTTTGTTTCAGCAAGTATCATGGTTGCTTGTTATTTCAATGATTAGATTATTTGTTACCATTTGAATTTTGTATTTCAGTGGTAAATTTTCGCACGCTATGTGTCTTGTGCAGTAGGGATAACAATTGATCAATTGTGATTGGCTGTGATTACGAGTCCTGAGTTTACGAAGGATGAGTCCTTACCTGCAAAATTGGGTGCATGCCGAATGTTGTACCCATGGGAGTCAGTGTTGCTGAGAATGCATGTGACTTTTGTGCTGTAGTCTTGAATACAAAATTCAATTTTCGCTTTAAGGTCCGCTTGTATTGGAGCCTCTGGAACCCTGATTTCTTCCACTCAGTGATATCTATATGCCCCCTTGAGAAATTGAAGCTAGTACATGTGTAATATATATTTCTTTTTTTCTGCTCTCAGCTGCTTGGAGTACTGTTTGAGTACCCTTTCTGATGACTGTCCTTGCAAGGGAGCTGCCAATCGAAGATTGGCAGTGGATGAGCACTCTGGTTCTGGTAGGATGTTACCTGGAGTCTGCAGGTATTATTGACTATCTCTTCCACTGGGGACAAAAGACCTGTGTCACAGAGCTGCCAATCTTTGATTGGCAGCAGAGGAACACTTTCAAGTTGATCCATGTTATTTGTGTCTAGTAGTGCAGCTGCTACTGTTCCTTGGGCTGGGTACAAATACAATTTTGTAGTCTTTTTGTAGCCACCAATACAGACCAACTTCTAATCTGTCAGAGGCAGGGACTTTTATGGTACAATGATGGCGGAGCCACAGGAGGACAACTTGAAAGTATGAATGAAGGGGACATTGCAGGTACAGATCTAAGGGATTTCAATATGTGCATAAGAAAGAGTACTGTATACATCAATTGGAACATTTATACACCCATGCTAACACTTATCAGACACAACTCAGGACTCATGTCCTGCCATGCATAGCAATGGCCCTCTACTCACAAGTTGTCTGGGGGTGCGAAAGGTAGGGCGATGTCTGCATGTAATCCTACTTCGGTGTCCCCTGTCCCTTCTCCCTCTTACTTGACTAACTTTGTGTAATATTTCGTGAATGAGATGGGTGCTGGTAGTGTGGACGCTGAACCGCATGCACCAGGGGTATCTGCTCCTCCCTGCGCTGGGGGAGTGGCATTGTCAGTGCAAGAAGGGGGTGAGAGTGTCCTAGTGATGTGCAGGGCCTGGCTTGGCTTGAAGCCCTGGGCTTTGGCCTGGCTTGAGCTGGCTCGGGCCTGTCACCAAGTCAAGCCAGGCCCTAGCGTCGGGCTTTGGCCTGGCTCGGGCCTGGCTCGGGCTCAGGCCAGGGCTTCCATGCTTGGAGAAGGAACGGGTACTGGAGACATACCAAGTATGGGGTTATGCACCCTACTTCATCTAATGGCCACTATGTACAAGGTTAGTGATCCTACATACATCTGAAGAGCACAACATGCTCACTGAACTGTGTATAGGTTACCGGTGTGCCTCAAACCCGCAATTCTTGAATATGTGTGGGTACTGTAAGCCATTAGAACAGCCCCATATAGGGCTAGAATGCATGAGGTTAAATACACAACAGGTATGGTGTGACTTACCTGTGATTTGAAGTCCGGTTCAGCTCATTTAGCCAGCGCCACAAAGCCCCGGGCCTGCAGGGCCTGGCTCGGGCTTCGGACAACCCAAGCCAGGCCCCGTCCTCGGGCTTGAGTAGGGCTTTGGCCTGGCTCGGGCCTGCTGAAATAGGGCCTGGCCTGGCCTGGCTCGGGCTTGAAGCCAGGCCGGGCACAACACTAGAGTGTCCTGGTGCAGGTCTTACTTATTCTGCCTCTGCAGCGTCTCAATGGGGAACCACTGATACGCACGCCCAGAGCTGCAGTGTATGGATACAGTGTGTAGCCACCAATTTGCTCAGACAGTGCATTTTATGCATGTGGTCTTCTATTAGATGAGAATTCAGACTATTACCCCCGGATCCAATCTAGTGCTCTCATTCGTTTGGACTCAATTGCTCGATTCATCAATGCATCATCTGCCAGTATATAGGCCGTCATTTATGACTCTGCTGAGTGAGCAGATGACCGGGTGTGGCACGCCGAGGCCCAGTGACTACCAAATCGTCCGAATCTGGGTCAGATAGAACGTTGGCTGGCTGGAGATCCGGTGCGCGTAATTTCGGTATTCGATACTCAGCCCCTCGCATAATAATAACGAATGCTTGAGTGATGTACAACAAATGGAGAGAGCATCTGCTGCCGGCGGTAGAATACAAAGGTCGTGATGGCCGGGCTCGGACGGAACTAATCTGTGGCCCGGGAGAGAGATCTAGACGCCACATTTTATCTTCAATGCTCAATCTCGATCCATACCGTGGAAACTCTCCTCCTCAGTGTCTCTCTTAGCCTCCTCTCTCCTACTTGTCTTGCCACCTTACCACCACCTTCTCTTCCGTCGTCACCGAGTACCACTACCCTTCAATTTCGAGGACTTTCGAGTTTTCAGAGGGCTGTATACCCCTTATATCCCGACGATCAGCCCAGTATACTCTCGATGGACGAAATCATCCCCGGACTATGGGTTGGCGATCTTGCCAGCGCGCTCGACACGGAGAAGCTGCGGGAGAAGGGCATCGGTAGCGTCGTTAGTGCTATGCGCGGGCGCGTATCCATCCATCCTGTACGTCCCGTCATCTCATCTCATCTCATCCCATTCCATTACAAGACCTCCTGATCCCCCCACCAGACGTTCATCCGCCACCAAATCAACCTCGACGACGAAGAGGACGCAGACGTGCTCTCGCACCTCGTACCCGCGGTGTCTTTCATCCAGGCGGAGCTCGACAAGGGTCGGGGCGTGCTGATCCATTGCCAGGCTGGGATGAGTGCGTTGCACCATGCTCTCATCCTCGAAATCACGCACTGACTTATCCATGCAGGCCGTAGCGCTACGATCGCCGCGGCGTACTTGATGTATGCGCGGAACATGGACCCCGCCTCCGCGCTCGAGCATATCAGAAAAGTACGACCACAAACAATGTACGTGCAACATTCCATCCGTTTCATAGCTCTTGACCATAGCTCCCTACATGACAGGCCAAACGAAGGCTTCCTCCGTCAGCTCGATGTATTCTACAAAGCTTCCTTCAAAGTCTCGCGGCACGATAAAAACGTTCGCATGTTCTACCTTGAACGCGCCGTCGCAGAAATGATGAGTACGTGTTGTCTCCTTCTTTTCTTCTTCCTCTCCTCTAGACCCCGCTGACCTCTCCCCACAGACGGCTACGGCGAAATCGAAACAGACATGTTCGCAAAGTATCCCCCAACCCCCTCCGACAGCGTCCCACCCACACCAGGAGGTCTACACCGCCGCATCCGCTGCAAGCTCTGCCGCACTGAGCTCGCGCGGCGCGAGCACATGATGGACCACGGCCAGCTCGGGCCCGCCACGCCCGCCGTGTCGATGGGGCTCTCCCCCGCGACCTCCCGCCGCCCGAGCATGGACCCGCAGCAAAGTAACCTCCCGCGCAGGGGGAGCAACACCGCGAGCGAGCGCAGGCCGTCGGGGTTGGCTGTCCCAAGGCGCCCGTCGGGCCTCGCGAACGACGTGAGCCGCGCATTTCGCGCAGGGTTCGGCATGACCGCCGCCACCGCCCCCTCCTCCGAATCGACCAACGACGTGTTCGCCTCCGACGACGACGAGGAAGACGACGGCGACTCGAGCGGCACGCAGACCCAGCCCGCGGACGCGATGACCGTCCTCCCGCGCTCGCGCTCCGGCTCGATGGCAGCCGTGCACCCGAAGCGCCTCGCGCAGCTCGTCTCCGCAGGCGCGGGCGTCTCTGATGCCCTGAGTGTCGCCAAGTCGGAGGGCAGCACGGCCGGAGCAGAGAAGGGCTCGGAGAGTGTCCCGGGCGCGCCGCCCACGCCGCCGCGCTCGCGCTTGGGGTCGGGGGGTGGCTCGAGGAGGGGGAGCGCGGGCGCGGAGGGGATGACGAGGAGCCTAAGCGACTCGCTGAGCATGACGTCGCTGAGCATGAGCAGCACCGAGAAGGACGACGCGCCGGCACCGCCTATACCGTTATCGAGGCGCGGGAGCTCGTCGGCGGGGCGACCCGCGCTGCCGTTCATCGAGGAGAATAAGCCGCTCCCGCCCGCCTCGACGGATGCGAAGGAACCGGCGGCGAGTGGTGAGGGGACCGGGCAGCGCCCCCCGCCGCTGTCGCATGGCTCGGACCTCGCCGCGCAGCTGTTTGCGAACCCTAAGCTCGCAGCGCTGCGTTCGGGGATGGGTATGACGCCGGTCTCGGGACAAGGGTCGAGCAAGCCTGCTGCGCCCGTCCCTGCGCCGATTTTGATCAACCCGAAATGTTCGGGGTATTTCTTGGAGCCGGTGAGTCTGTGGTTAGGTGAGGTGGGTGGGATGAATCGCTGATGCGGTTTGGTGTGGGTAGATGAAGTGGATGGAGCCGTTCCTGGAGCAAGGCCAGTTGGCGGGGAAGATTGTTTGTCCGAACAAGAAGTGCGGAGCGAAGCTGGGGAACTATGATTGGGCAGGGGTGTGCTGCAGCTGTAAAGAGTGGGTTACACCCGTAAGTTGCTCCGCGTCTGCTTGTTCTACCCGTTTGGTCTGACTCATCGATGTTGCCGCGTTAGGGTTTTTGCATCCACAGGTCGAAAGTCGACGAGGTCGTATGATCGAATCCAAGCGCAATGTTTTCTCTATCGTATGTATTGTTTCGTCGCATGGGCGCGCAAATCAAACTTGTACCGATACGCACAACGCCATATATCATTCCTCATATTCCTGCAAGACCCGGATCCATCACCATGTGTATAAAATATCTGTAGTCTACCCGACATTCGAACCGCTGTCCGGAGCTCGACGCTCCATATTTCACAAGCACTTGATATGCGTTCCGCGGGAAGCCCCGTCTCGATATTTTGAAGAGTGGAAGTCAATATTCACCTTACAAGAGCATTGAACTTCTTCAGGAAGCCTCCATAGCGAGGAACGTTTATTATACATGATCCATCGACGAGAGTACGCTCGCATATGTGATCAATTGGTGCCAAGCGATAGTACTCAGAGGGCAGAGCGGGGAAGGTAGAGGACCCCTAGAAAGTCACACAATCGGACTACGGTGCACAGAAGAGCAACCAGTCCAGAGTCGACAGTCACCAGTTTACGTTGCGTACGTGGCTTATTATTGGTCTTGTCGATACGACTAGTTGGACAGAGAACCGAGAACCGGCGATTTAAACTAGGATAATTTTCTGGCATGAGTACGCTATGGAATATCCGGCGTACGCTCGAACATAGAAAGAGTGCGAGCTGCCGCACAGGACTCCCAGAGAGTTGTAAAATTGACGCGCCAAGCGAGGGTGACCAGACCTCAGCAAGATTAGGGTGTAGACGTCGAAAGGGATGTCAACCGAGACATCGAGGCAGAAGTACCGAGTCTGAATCAGTGAACGGAGTATGCGTATGCGGTAGGAACGGATATAAGTCCATACTCAAGTTGGGCAGAGGTAAATACAGAGTGAGCCTGAGTGGTTCCATTATACGATACGGCGGTGGAAGCAATATCACAGAGGAGGATCACAGCCCGTCATGCATTGGTCCAGCAGCAAATGAGAGCACTGGGGAAGTAGGCCGGCGCTTGTAGTGTGACATGCATACGCTGCTAACGAGCGTAGGAACAAGTCGAAAACATCCCGACGCGTCTGCAACGTGTCGCAGCTCGCCAGCACTCAGGCGGTCATGGCACCCCCGACCTACCAATCCATTGTTGAACATAGCAAGTCAATTGTTGTCAATGAAAGGCTTGACTTCTTCGGCGTACCCTACGTGGAGACTGAGCTGGGGTTGCTGGTAAGGGAAATTGTGAGTCCATTACCCACATAACAGAGCATCCGTGTCGCCGAAGACTTCGCAAAGCACCAGGTTCTCGATCGCGCGCCTACGCCGCATCACGTAGCTTTGGCAGATGCTGTCGTGAACGCACTGAGAGTGCATCTACTGCCAGCCATGGTGGATGCGATACGTCCACATCTGTCGATGCTGCGATGGCCATCCTCTCCTCCAGGGGTTCGAGTTCAAGGTACATGAGGGTTCGACTGCTCATGGCTAGGGGAGAACTGATCAGGACTACACGCAGTCTACAATGTAGTCCCTGCTCGGGCAGATGGACCGCATGCCAGCAGCTTCATGCGACGGCCCCGAGGAGATGATGACGACAGCATGGTGTTAACAAAGTCGTCGGACAAGCCCAAGCCTGTCGGTGGTTCCTCTGGCAAAGCTCATTCGGGCTCTCGTGGCGCCGGAAAGGTAGATAAAGGCGTGGACCAGAGCGCGTCGTCGGGTGGGCAAGCAGCAAGCGGAAAACCCGAGAAGAATAGCAAGCCCAGACGGAATGCTGATAGACCGGACCCTGGATACAGGCTATCACTTCCTAAGGTGAGCAATGCACACTACAGCCTTTTTCTTTACCTCATGGACATCCTGTAGTGCCAGCGGTGCGAGACTTTTGATAAGAAAGTCGATTGCTATCGCCTTCCTTCGAAACCGGAAAAGAGTTGCTGGCGCTGCCTCCTTAGTCGCCAGCCCTGTCGCACGGAGGGGACAATCTGTTTTGGTGAGTTTCCTTACCTACAAGCCACAGGAATGGCGTATGACAATATGGTTGGGCATATTTGCCTTTCCCCTCGCCAGCGTCATCGGATGCACCTGACACCGAAGACAAGGCTCCCCCTTCATCGCGGACGCGCAGTCGCACCAAGTCCCAGCAGTCAGCCGGGCCCAAGGAGGTCGCACAGCAGATCACCCCAAACACCCTCGACCGGGAGCTTGCAAACATTCACCGAAGTTTACATCAGCAGTCTACCACTCAGGTTCGGATCTTGGCACTACTGCAAGACAGTGGACTCGCCACTGGACCCAGCATAGCTGAGGGGCACGAATCAATGCCTCGTACCCAAAATTCGTCTTCAATGAATCGATCATGTGCCGACCTACCGACCCTAGCTTCGCATCGCCACGCACCACCCAATGAGAGTGAACAAGACTTGTTGGTTGCTCCGGAAACTGACTGTGGTGACCATACCGAGAATGAAGTGCTCATGTATATCCCCAATGCAGGTAACCGGGAGGTCAACGCAAGAGGACCTTTACAGAACCAAGCTTCGACTTCAATGAGCCAAATTCACCAGAATTTAGCAACATTGGGAGCTTCGCGTGGGGCTAACCGCGGATCCTGGCATAGGAGCACTGCGAGTCCTATGAACCTCACAACGAATTCTCCATTGGTGCTAACAGTGAAGCAGGATCAGGCAGGACATCCACGTCAAAAGAGGGCCCCCACACCAATGCTCAGGATACGGTTCGAGCGCGCCCCTTCGATGGCCTCACGAGATGCCGACGGGGGCGGAAGTCTGCGTCCGAGCCAAACCTGGGTAAATCAGATGGGCGGCGAGCCTTCACCAGTGCTTTCCTGGGTGCCGCGGCTGTCGCATTTGCCACAAATGCATCATCAAATCATCTCTACACCAAGCCTTCACGACCAGAAGGTTGACCAGCAGACCGACAGCGAAGAGGAAATGGAAGATCACCGGCCGCAGAAGAAGAGCCGCCCCAGTGACAGGCGGTGAGCAAACATCCAAACTATATGTTGTCGAGAATGTACGTGGGGTTGCGAGTATCACATACCGTCCTGACTCATTCCTGCAGTCTATCAAAACAATCGCGATTCCAAATCAGGTGCAGCGAGATGCAAGCGGAAAGGGGAGCCACATTGCGCGGCTGAGTGATAAGTTGCATGCTTCTTGATGAAGCCCTGCTTTATGGTGCCAAGGACTGCCCATGAACACGAAGTGTAATAGAAACATGCATTCTTGACTCCTGTCGTAGTAATGATGCCGCCAAAGATTGATTCAAATCCGCGAAGTGGTGCAGAATGAGTGAGCAGGCTACCATGGTCACAGCCAAAGCAAAGCAAGATGCGACCTCTTGAAGTGCGTAAATTGTGGCGAACGTGGGGTGCATGGAAGCAGGAGGCCTTAAAGACGGAAGGTCGTACATCCTCGTCAACCGTCCTGGGACGATAGCCAGAGAACACGGAACCAATGAGAAAATCGGAAACGCACAGCCACAGACCTCGGTGGCGGGGAATTTCAGGAAATTCAATTTTGCATTGAACGTCGTCCTGGCCCGACATCCAGTGCAGCGGAGCTAGCGCTCGCCGACTCTGTCCGCGAGGCAGCTGCCCCTCTGGATCCTAGTTTTGGGAAGCTTGCAGCACTTGCCAGCGGTCGCGGACGCCGCCGGAGTCCCGGGGGGGAGATAGCCTAGCTGTTCATCTTGAATACAATCAAGTATACGCCGACGCATACAGCACTGGTCAAGGCAGAGCTCGTGGACGAAGTCGGCGAAGTAGCTTCTCCACTCGAGAGCCGTTTTGCATCAAACGGTGGTCCTGGCGATTCATCACCTGCTGAAGCAGAGCTCGCGGACAGAGTCCGGGCCTGCTCCTCTCGCGCGTACTTGAATCCACACTTTTGACGAGACGCACTGCGATGCTTGTCTACACCGATACCTGCTGTGGCATCGAGCATTGTTCTTCCGCTTGCTTCCTTTCTGCATGGTTGAAATAGTTTCAACAGACAGAGAGCGCGCTTGCCCCGCGCGGTCCGTTGTCCGAAGGGCAATCGCATACAGTACAAGGAGTAGGTATGACAAACATATACCGAATTTATTATCATCTTATAAGCCCAGGCGCTTCCCCGACCCCGCGCGGCACGAGCTCGCAAGCTGGTACCGAAATCCGCGCTTCACCTCCCGTATCTGCCACACAATTTCAGCCAAGGTGCCTGCGCATTCTGCAAGTATCTAAAGGTTGCCATGTTGCTTACCTCTCCCCAATATCATGAGTCGCTCCTCTTTTTGCTCTCAATCTAGTATCTGTGATTTATACTGAAAGCCCTATATGCAAGTGCCCAGGCCTGTGCGAGCCTTCCCGCAGGTGCTGCGCCTTTTACCAGAGGCCACCTCGCGAGTCGCAAGTGGCGCACATCCTTGCCACCCGAAAGCAGCAGTAACGTAGTGATAGCAGGCGTGTGGTTAGATCCCAGTCCGGGTGCGTCAGAAACCCTGTCATCAGGGGGAAAAAAAGCTACCGGACTCACACCACTCCGACTCCAGCTTACACTGTTCATACCAGACTGACCAAGTCCATATGGTATGTAGATAACTCTAATAAATTATCGTAAAGCGTAAAAGTAGCTGTAGTCCGTCGTGCAACAGCCTAGCGAGCGTGAGGTTAGTACATCTGCGAGTCTACCAGTAGTATAAATAGGGCGAAAGTCGTCTGTCTATCGAGTCCAGGCGTTCCTCATCTTTGTTCCTAAGCTTTCTCGGCCCACGACGCCTTGCTTGAGCGCGGCGCCTCGAGGAGGAAGCCGGGGTGGAAGACGTTCAGGGTGAACATCGCCAGGAAGACCATTGTGCCGTCGAGCACGTCTGCGTAACAAACGCATCAGCGTGGTGGAAGAGACGAAGAGAGGCGGGGAAACACACTGAAGTATACCTGCGTCCCGATCACGCGACCGTTCCACCCGTCCGAGAGCTCCACCGTGCGGTATATCGACCTATGATTACCACACGAATCAGTCCATATCCCACAACAGCTAATACGCCTATGTGGATGTTAATCTTACCGGATGAACAGACAGAGCGTGCTGAAGCACATCGCGCCAATCATCGCCTTCAGTCTCTTATCCACGAGGCCGCGGGGGCCGTTCGCTGTCCATTGCACGTCGTACGGGGCGGGGGAGAGCGTGTCGGACGAGCGAGAGACGGGGGGCGCGGCGACGGGCGCGCGCGCGGGGCGGTCGAGGTGGTAGCGGACGAAGTACTCGGTGACGAGGAGCATGAAGATCGAGAGGATCGCTATTTTTGCAGTGTCAGTCTTTTGGATTGGTGGGAGGGGGGGAGGCAGGACGTACCCAGCTGGAAGCCGATACCTGCTAACATGATTTTGGTGCCCTTTACAAGAATTCGGATAGGTTAGCAGGAGGGAACAGAAGTGACGAGGGAGACGCACCAGCTTCTGCGAGCTCTCGCTGTTGCCCGAGGCGAGCCCGCCGCCGAAGGCCTGCAGCACGAGGGCGACGACATCCTATATCCACTCAGTGATTAGCGTCATGTACGCGAGTACTTATGGCAGAATGAAGGGCTCACGGAAGTGCAGAAGATGATCGTATCTAGCGGGCGGGTCGGGTCAGGTCAGGTCAGCCGGGCACGGGGGAGACAACGAGGGTACTCACACATGCGCGGCGTAAGGCGACTATACTGCGGACCCAGCCGCCGCGTAAGCCGACCGAAGATGACAAATATCGCCGCGAGCAGCGGCGTCGGGGAAATGATCGTTGAACTAAGCCTGGGGGAGCGTCAGACTCTGAGGACAATCTCTGGAGTAGAGAGCTGCCTACTGCATGAGGAATGGCGTGTCGTTGGGGATATTCAGCGTCGACCACGTTCGGCCGCTCCATCCGATAAGCTCGCCGCATGCCGCTAGGACAGCGGTGGGGAGCAGGAACCACAGGCGGAAGAGGACCGCTTCCGCCAAGTGCAACGCTGGGGAAATGTCAGTCAGAATCGGGGAGGGGGTTGGAAAATATGGGACTTACCACCGGATATGCCGAAGAGCACGAGGAAGAGAATGCATACCCATTGTGTCGGGATGTAGTGATATGGCGAGAGCTCCCAGACTAGGTCGGCCGGGATGGAGGTGACTGCGAGTACTATTATTATTGTCGTTTCATGATCAGTGGACGCGCGAAGGAGAATGAAGCAGGAATATCTACCTGTGGTGTTGGTTGAACTCATCCTGGCGGAGGTAAGTATGGAAGCTACGTTTACCCTACTGCACAGAGGACCGTACATTTAAGGACGCGCAAGCGTCCGAAGCTACCGGTACACAGCACGCCGCAGGGGACCCTCCTGGATGCCGGGAGGTGTGCGCAGTCGCGCATGGGCTGCGGTGTCATTCCTTTGCATTGAACGTTTCTCTGGGCCGCAGTCGCGAGTCTCAGTGATGTGCACTGGACGTTGCCACAAGCGTGCGGCGCTCAGCCGGCTACGGCGATGGCGAGCCGTACGCGTAGTTGGTGGCGGGCTGGAGCATTATCTTCACTGCCCCGGAGCGGCGGGATAACCAACGACAACGAGGAAGGTGGTGATATTGATGCCGTGCCTGGCGCGGGCGGTGATGGCAAAGAAGCACTGCTGTGCTGAGGCTGTGCAGAACGTTGCTTGCTCCCTGATTGGTCCGCGCAGTCGATGTCTGGTCACGATCAGTCTATGCAAATGTACACGAAATCATGTCCTCTCCATATGGTTACTTCTTGAATCTTTGAATTTTGACTAGACCCAACTATAAGTCCACCTAGGTCCTACGTCAATCTATTCACCGAGAAAGTTTCCTTAATGTGACCTCAAGGGCTTTGCGACACGCCGCGTTATGCCTTTTGTCTCGATTTCGTAGGCGATGGGCAGTTTCGCTAAGCAAAGTCCAGTGTAGGTCTGGGCCGTCAGCTGGAAAAGCGAGGTAAGTATAGTAACGTCTGGTAAGAGAACGTGTACATCTTACACATGCGATGCCTGTGATTGAGTCTACAAGCCCGTGAGCCGTCAAAGGTCTCATTCACAAAGCTTATGAACATGGATCCCAACTATCTCCCCACTACGGTTCCCATCAGTTACTGGTACATTTCCCCCCTGCGCGCAGCATACTACGCGCCACCAGGCCTTCCCCAGAACAGTTCCTGATCGAGGTTTATGTTTTGAGATGACAGTGATAGACCTAGTGATGCCGCAGTCCGGTTCCCGAACCTGGGAGAACCGGTTCGAACCTCGGACCGGACCCAGGTTCTGGTCCGCGGTCCGGCTTTAGGGCGAACTTGAAATGAGGTCCAGGTGGGGCCACAGTGCCCGAACCATACCTAAATATGGTAATTTTGAAGGGTTCGAACCCGAACCTGACTGGACCCAACGCCATTTTGGGTTCTTTGAGGTTCATGGTCCGGACATTTACCCGAACTGGACCTTGGGTCTGGTCCCAGGTCTGGAAATTTGGGCCAATAACCGGACCGAGCCAGACCGCGGTATCACTAGATAGACCTGTATGACCACCCTGCATGCACAGCACTCACCACGACTTTTGAGCTCTAGAATGACAACACTCGTCTTCACGAGAAGACATGACAGTCAGCGAGGTGTAGCCGTCCACACAGACGTTGATAGGCACTAACACACGACAACACCAAAGACCAAAAAGAAATAAAACCTAAATCACCCAGTGGTATGGGTGTAGGCGGTCTAAGGCGATTGAAGGGTAATATTTAAGTTCGAAGGGAGGGGGAGAAGTTAGATGCCGTAGGGTAGCCCGTAGGAAAACCTAAAACAAACAAAATCTTGAGGCCTGAAACAAACAGTATAGCAATTCTCCGGAGTATTTATCTCCGAAGTTTGCCAGTAGCCCGGGTGGGGAGTTCCACTGAACCCAAACAATAGTCTCGTGCCTACAGACGCTTGGTGAATTTTATACTTTAAATCCGGAGCTTACTTGGATCGATATGCGATGGCGGAGTTATCTAGTTTCGACGAGTCAGGCCTATTGGCAAAGCTAGGATTGATTGTAGACGCTAAGTCCGATGCGAAGGGACTCCGAGGGTCGCTGAGATGATGATTCTGGTATGCTGAGAGGGTGAAGTACAAAACTTGGATTTTCCACTATGCTCCATACATTTTTATGCTATTGGAATGGTTTTGCGTCCGCCCGGAGTTAAATAACGAATATGCTCCGCATCCCACACAATTACTCAGCCTTTGCCCACTGCTATACCATGTCCCATACGATCCTGCCGTGTTTCCACGTGCTCATCCTAGGTCCTAGAGGTAGCCTCGACGCGTCAATGCTCGCTTGAAGTGCCTCATCACGCGGTACTGCAGGCTGATCACGTGCGGATTAGCTCCGGCCGCTTGCTGACTGATACGTTCCGTCCGGCCGTCGATTTACGTCCGCTGACTCGGTCGCTTTGACGGAAACGAAGGGGAGTGATGACTGGGGAGTGGTAATACCAATGACTCACTGCGACGCGGGCCTCCGCCGTTCCTGGAGATAATTAGTCACAAAGGTATTCTTCCGGGTGACTTCGGAGCGTCTGGCTGCGGAGCTAAATCATATTGGTGATCTGCGCCTGCCTTGAGGACGTTAGAAGGTCCGGAATTAAATCCAGAACCCTTCGTCGGTTACTTGTAGCGTAAGAGGTTCGACAGGTGGTGTCGAATAAACTTTGGAGGGGATGTATGGTGTGTCGAATTCGCAATTTCGGGGGTCAGAAGATCGCTGGGGCTTATCAACGTTGCACATGGCAGTCAGCGGTTTGGTAATGCTCAAGGGATTTGGAACAGCCCGCCGATGTACTGCCAAGTCCACTCAAAGTATCTGAGCACACCTGTGTTACGACTCTACCATTGTCCCTGCTATATGCAAATGATACCTAACCTCTGGAATGACACTGTGCATTTTGGACTCTTGGGATTCATGATCTTCAGCGAGGTGTGGCCGTGGCCTAGCGGACTTGCCAAAAATCGACTCGAGGTGGTGAGAGGACCCCTGAACATACTGATCGAGGTTTGACACCTATTCCATATAAATGCGAGGTCTGAAGGCTGAATGTCGGATACGGTCGTGGTAGAATGTGGTGAAGTGTTCAGGAGGCTGGATATTCATCGAACGAAAGAGAGGACATGGGAAAGATGGTCATTCCAAGCCAAAATGTGTTTGAAGCAGGTAAAATGTTGACCAGGTATACTGGTGCTATGATTTGGTAGTAGCAGAGGCTCCTGGGTGCTGAAAATGGCCAGTTCCTGTGACTGCCAAGAATCCTTAATATGCCAACCAGCCAAAAAAGGGGGGATAGAGAGTAATCCTCATCTATTCACCTACGTCTACACCATCATATGACCTCAGGGCGCAGATGCGGACACTGCTCATCAGCCAGAAGTCATCCTCGGAAACAAATTTCTCCTGCAATTGGACCACTATAAGTGGATCCGGCCAATGGTGCAGGCAGTGTTCTGGGTCCTCTCATGTACCAACATCCCACATGTGGTCGTTGACACCCACCGTCGCAAGGGACGCTATGTCTGCGGCCAAGTCTACGGCCAGGAAGGGATGAAATCACTGCATGTTGCCCATGTACAAGAAATGGAGATTTGGGAACTCGCCCAAGCGATCCAGCTACCACACAGTAAGTGTCCCAGCACACGCAGCCGTATGGCAATCTATGTGTTCGAACGCAGATATTAGACATCAGCACTTCTCTGAATCCCTGAGGACCTGGGAGTCCTGACAGCAACACCTCAGGATGACTACAAATTAGTAATAGTGGCACTAGGCCAGTGACTTGTAGTCGGCACTACAACAGCCATGTAGTGAGACTACAGACCCAGTAGTAGTCACACCAGCATTGGCCAATCACGCCATAAGAATCCTAACCGGCGCGGACTCTCACGGTCAGTGGCTGAACACGTCCTGATGGGTCCTGAACTGACAAAATGGACCTTCTGAGCACTGATATCTGAGAGCTCCTGAAGGCTCCTGAGGGCTCCTGAGAGGGCCTGAGGAAATTTCCTCAGGAGCTGTCAGGAGCTGTCAGGACAGATGCAGAAGTGCTGATGGATGCAGAGACGAAAGGTTGTTCGGAAGGCAATCCGCGAGTCGTCGGCACTGTTCATCAGTCCACTTCATGCTGCTGACATCACTATTCCAGCCTGCGAAGCCCCGATTGAGGCCAAGAACCCTGATAGGACTCTCGCAATTTAGGATCGCAGCTAACGTGACGACTGGGTCGTCATGGAAGGGGAAAGCGAGGTCTAACCGGCAAAGAGCCGGCAAGTGCCCTATAGTCTCCACTAATGCCTGTAGCTTGTTCCGCGTAAACACAATCTCAGCCTCTAACTTCAGAGACTGCAGTTGAGACAGGGAGGAGACATGTCCTTGCAAGAGCGTAAGGACGGTTGGATCGTCACTAAATACTGAGAGAGGAGATTGCGGTGAATTCAAGTGATGGAGGACTAAGCCCAGCCAGGAGATATGCTCGCTGAACAGGGTGTAGAGATGCAGATGAGTCAGTTGTGAAAGAGGGGGGATGGGCAAAACAAACACCAGCCAGCCCTCAATTTCAAGCTTCCGGAGAGTATTTTGATTGTTGCATATGATCTCCTCCAATAAAAGACATGAGAGGGGATCGTGAGAGGGGATCAACTCTGTGCAATCCTTCTGGAAAATGCTCATCCTCCACATCCTCTCCATCGGCACAGCAAATGAATGAGCTACGATGTCTGAGACCAGCTAGTGAAGTCACAATCTTTTCCTGTCCGAGCACGTACCTTGTCACACCGGAGGGGTAATAGGTCAGTATTCAAGGACGGGAAATACAAAATATATGTACCTTGGTAACTGCAGCGGCGGTGGCCTTTCGAGTGTCACATAGCCCCGGGTTACGAGTCCTCGTAGCCCGGCGCCTCCCGACCTGGGACTTAAAGCTTCATTGCCGCGGGCTACCAGCTGGGCTACGGACTCGTAGCCGCAGAGCCTGGGAACGGTGTTGAAATATTCCAAGCAAACGGAAGACGAGCGCGTTTGCCCCAGGCGGTCGGTTGCCCGAAGGGCAATTGCGTACAGTACATCGAGTAGATACAACGAATATATATGAATTTCTTATCACCTTATCAGTTGGGCCCACCTGCGGCGGTCCCCCCCTGACCACGCGCAACACGTCGCGAGCTCGCAAGCTCGATCCCGACTCCCGGAATCCAACAAACGGAGATTAAATAGGGCTCCGGGCTAGGCTACAGGGCTGCCATAGCCCAGCTGTCAGCGGGCGGGACGTTCTCGTAGGTCGCGTGGCTTTGCGAAAGATCAAGCATGACCTGAAGTAGGTGTGGAAACGCAACTCCTCATAGTTACATGTTCATATCTGACCGTAGTCACTCAATGAATCAGGCAATCGGATAGGCGCAAGTTCCTGAGATAAGTCTAAGTATTAAAGCGCTACCTCCTTCCCCTCCCCCCCAATCCCCCCTTCCCTTCCCTGCTTCTCGGACTGTCGGCCATGTCTTTCACATATTGTAACATCAGGCTAGCAGGTTCGTATGAACATGACTCCCTCTCTTCCAAACTTTTAGTTCTGATAGAAAAGGAAACCCTCTCGCACAGCCGATGCGTCCCTAGCTCTCTCAATCCCAATACTATTGTACAGGATACATAGGAATGGGATCACCAGTGCGTATCCCGAAATACTTACTAATTGCAACTTATTGTAACGCCTGCTGCAGATGTCTCGCTCTCTACGCAGATCATGCACTGCATGGTCTTCATCGCACGCTACATCGACCTGTTCGCCCTCCCAAGAACGAACATATACAACACGTCTATGAAGCTGTACCTCCTCTCCGGTTCCCTGATCACTCTCTTCACCCTCCTCCGGCGGCACGGCCCGTTCTCCAAGCAGCAGCAGCAGACCACCCTCTGGCACGTCCTCCTCACCGCCGCCCCCTGCTTACTGCTCGCGTGCCTTGCGCACTATGGCGGGAGCTTCAAGTGGATGGAGATCGCATGGGCGTTCTCCATGTACCTCGCCGCGTTCGCGGACATACCGCAATTGGTCGAGTATGACAGGATGGAGACGAAGGACCGCCTGCTGACGGCGTACCTCGTGCTGTGCTTCTATTTCCGTGCGCTGTACATCCCGCATTGGGTCCTCCGGTGCGGCCCCCTCTTCTTTCCTCGCGGCAAGCGGATTTCCCTATAGACTTACGTGCTTATTCCTTGTTCTCGCAGGTACTTCGACGAAGGCCGCGTCGATCCCATCGCCACCGTCTCGGGCGTAACTCAAACAACGATCTATATCTTCTACGGCCTCCTCATCGTTCTCCATCACTCTCGTCGCCAAGCCACCCGAGCCGCCCTCGACGCGGAAGTGCAGGTCGATGACGTTAGGTACGCTCCGCCGTTCTCTACCGCCATTCCCTCCGTAACCCACGTCGGGTTCTAGCTCGCCGGGTAAGGTGCCCATCGAGGAGAAGGTTGCCATCCCTGTCGAGACTGCGCCGGCGACGGCTGTGTAAAGTTGTCCCTGCGCCGTTCGGAATCCAGGTAACGCGTCCGATATTCTGTGGATGCGCTACACTTGTTCTCGGTACGACGTCTCAGGGACATCTATCCTTACCGTCATGTCACGCGTGTCCCAATCCGCCCTTTGAGTAATCAAAAAATAATCGACGAGTACAACTGAACACCGTGATCACTGATACACATCGTTATTGCACAACTCAAACTTTTTGCCCAACTCAGTACTGTCACATGTTCCCTTCGTTCACTGCTTCCCCCCCTTCGCCTTGACCCAATAACTCCCATGCGGGAACCCAAACTCCGCGATACTCTCCTTCCGCATCTCGATGCTAAAAACCACGTCAGCGCGCCGTACCTCCCACCAACGAAGAAAAGAACAGGAAACGCACCTGTACCCCTCCGCGGGGTTGGCGGGCACGTTGTAGCGCCCGCGCGCGTTGATCGAGCACGGGAAGAGGAAGTGCTCGTGCAGGTGGTCGACGAACTCGAGCACGTTGCGCTCCATGCTGCCCGAGACGGCGATGTAGTCGATTAGGCTAGCGGCGGGGCGGTTGGAAGCGAAGCGGTGGATTAAGGCGCGAGGGATAGGGAGGGCGCGGGCAGGGAAGGGAGGGCAGAACGGGAAAGAAGGGTGAGTGAGCGGGGATAACGGGGCAGGACGGAGGGAGAACGTACCTCAGGTGGATAACGTACTCGCACAAACCAACACCCCCTGCATGCGGGCACACCGGCACCCCGAACCTAGAAAAGAACCATCAACACCCACTTCTTCCCTTTCCCCCAAACCCAAACCCAAACCCAAACCGAAGCACAAACGCTCACTTGGCCGCCATAAACAACACGCTGAGCACCTCGCTCACCCCCGCGAGCCTGCACGAGTCGATCTGGCAGACATCGATCGCCTCCGCCTGCAACAACTGCTTGAACACCATGCGGTTGTGCGCGTGCTCGCCCGTCGCGACGCCGATCCCGTGCGGCTTGAGCGCCCTGCGGATCGCCGCGTGCCCGAGGATGTCGTCGGGCGCGGTGGGCTCTTCGATGAACCTGGCATGCGAGTTATTAGGGGAAGGAAGACGGGGATGGGGATGGGGATGGGGATGGGGATGGGGATAGCAGAGTAGGCGCACCAAGGCTTGATCTCCTCCAGGCCCCTTACGTAGTCGATCGCCTGCTGGACGTCCCACACCTGGTTCGCGTCGATCATGAGCACCGCGCCCGTCGGGCCCGCGTTCTTCCCCCTCAGCTCCGGGCCGTTCGGGTCCCTCGCCTTGCTCCCTGCTCCCATTCACAAGACATCATCAGTACTCCCCTTCCCTTTCCCGCCCCTCACCCAATACCCAATACCCAAAACGCGGGAATATGAAGGATGCAGGGATGCAGGGATGCAAAGGATGAGGGGCAACGCACCTTCAGGCAAGTATTGCGGGTCGTCGATTATGCTGCGGATGATCTTGCCGCGGCGCAGGTCGTTCTCGAGGCTCGCGCCGACCTTCATCTTGAAGTGGTTGAAGCCCGCCTGGACGGCCTCCTTCGTGAGCCGCGCGACCTTCTCGTCCGAGTAGCCGAGCCAGCCCGCGGAGGTGACGTACGCTGGGTATCTGTGGGGCGGGTGGTTAGGTTAGCGCGCGCGTGATGTGGCTGGCGTTTGGTGTGGGATGTGGAGGGGAAGGGGGGAAGCGAAGGGAAAGACGGGGGGGAGAAGGGGAAAGGGAGGTATGGAAGGGAAGAAAAGGCGAGCACGCACCCAACCTCGCGGACGTGCGCCTCGCGCTCCTTCTTCCCCGCCTCGTTCTTCTTCAGCATGGCCAGCGCCTCCTCCTTCGTGATCGCGTCCGAGATGTAGCGCCACGCCGCGGAGCGCACGAGCTCCTCCTACAGGCCCACGCCCAGTTAGCAACTATGCGAGGCCGGGGCAGGGAAAGGGACAAGGGGAAGAAGGGAGACGCACAGGGCTCATATCCACGACGAGCTTCCACAATGGCTTGTTGCGTGCACGGGCGTACATGTCCCAGAGCGCGTTGTCGACCGCGCCGGTCGCGATGTGGATCACGCCCTTCTCCGGGCCGATCCTGCACAAAGCCCGTCGATTCTTACTCTCTGTGAGTTGGCCATGTACTCACCAGCGCAGCTGCGGGTCGGCGACGAGCAGCTCCCAGGCCTTGCCCATGTCCGCGAAGAGCTCCTCGGCGCTCTTGCCCACGAGGCGGCTGGCGACCTGGCGGATGGCTTCGCAGACCTGCCCGCCGTGGTATCAGTTACTGTGTGAGGAATGGAAACACGGAAGGGTCGCACGATGTCGTTCCCGCGGCCGATGGTGAAGGTCATGCCGTGGCCTACGAGGTCGGACGAGGTGTAGAGCGAGATGTACGCGGACGAGTAGTCGCAGTCGGTGTTCCTGTACACTCCTCAGTCTTTGCCTCCTGCAGGGCATGCATCCACGTACATCGCGTCCGTCCCATCGCCCGTCAAGCTTGTCGGGAACCGCACATCTGTCGCACCACCTTCAGCGTCACTACCCCCCGCACCGCACCCTCCATCCCACTAACCGTGAATCTCGAAATGCGTAATCGTGGCCATCTCGCTGAGTCAGCGATGGGTAGAGAAAGAGGACGAAAGCCGGAGCGGGTGCATCGTCGGAGGGGCTGCTTATAGCCTCGCTCGCCGGGGCCCATGGCCTGTCTGAAGGGACGGCCCGGTGTGGCCGCCGGCTCGCCGGGCCGGGGGGTATATCCGTAGCAGAGTCGCTTGACCGGCTGTGTCGCTGCACTGCACGCCCTACAGACTCAGTCTCGCTTTCGTCCAAATGCTCGTGGCCGACGATGCGCAGAAGTTGCTTTTTCGAAGAGGACGACACCGTACTTGGAACATTGGCTGGCTGCTTGACCGTCTGATGTATGATACAATTTATAGCAAGGCAAGCTACTGCGTGCACACGCCGATGATGATAATGAAAAGAGAAACGACACCCCTGTCGTCTCCGCCTTGCGCCGTCCTCCCGATCCTCCCTGGCACCCCCTGATCATGAGCTCAATCCCTCTGGCCGAAATCGTACGCGTTCCCAAACGCGCGGTCGAGGTACTTCACCGGCGGGTCCACAAAGTCCGCAGGCATATCCAGCAGCGGGTTCGCCAGGAGCAGCTCCATGCCCTTTGGGAACTCCAGACGCACTACGCACAAGAGGTCAGCGTCCATCATCAACTTAACCTAATGCAACTTTTAAGACGTACTTTGGTTCCGGTACCACGGCGCGAAATCTAACCCACGTTTTCCGTCAAGGTGTGAGACGCAGGAGAGCAAGGAGATGCACAACGCACGTATCATCGCCAACATCACCCTCGGCACATCCGTCCTATTCGGCTTCCCGCAATGCCACAACCTCAAATCCCTCAGCACGATCGACCCCTTCGGTACCACCGGCTGGAACGGGCCTGCCGCCACCCACCCCGTTCATTCAGCCCTTTGCGCACAACCGGCCGGTAAGCAAGTGTGTACATGTACCCACCTTTCTCCGGCGCCTCGGCCTTGCGCCGCGCGAGCAGCTCCTCGCGGATCCTCCCCGACGCGCGGTCGCCGTGCAGCGACACCTGCGAGTCGGGCTGCGCCATGTTCTGCGTGCCGAGCCACAGCTCTTCTCCGCACGTTCAGCATCGCTCCTTAACCGACGCCGGAGCGTACCTGTGGACCCGTTCTCCGGCGTCATGTCCACCAGCCCGACGTTAACCACGAGCGCGAACGGGATCTACGTTCGGCCCGTTTGCTCATCCCACATGCAGGTATGGGAGCGGCGGGAACTGACCTTGGGGTGCGCAAAGTCCGCGTCCGTATGCACCGGCTGGCTCTCCGTCGCCTTGAGCGCCGTATTCTACGTGCAACACACGCACGCACGCACGCATTAAGTCGTCGGTCCCCGCGGAGCGAGGAACGTGGAATGGACGGATAGCTTACCCCGGAGCAGAACGTCATCTTCGGCCTTCCGCCCAGCAGCGCAGAGGTCACCTGTACCCGCCGCACCAAGTCAGCATCATCGCAGAACCCACGTCGCCCACACATTCCCCCGCTCAGCATCCCCACCTCCGATCGGGAGGCAAGGACCGAGCGGACGAGCGAAGTAGTGAGGGTGAAGTAAGAAGCATGTGGGCTCACGTCCACCGCCAAGGGGTTCACGAAAATATCCTCGAACCACATCCCCGGCTCGGGCGGCGGGTCCTGCTGGATGTTGTCGCGGTTGTAGTTGAACGGCGAGTTCTCGCGCGAGCAGAGGTACTCCGCGTCGCGCACCATGCGTTCGTTCAGCTGTCAATCCTTTTCAGTCCCGGTCGTCCAAGCGAGCAAGCGAGCGGGGGAAGCAAGCAAGCGAGTGGGGGAAGCAAGCAAGCGAGTGGGGGAAGCAAGCAAGCGAGTGGGGGAAGCAAGCAAGCGAGTGGGGGAAGGGAAGGGAAGGGGGGAAGGGCAGGCAGGAAGGAAGGAAGGAGAGTCCGAACCCGCGACCGACCTTATCCAGATGCGCGTGGCTCACCACGCCCTCGAGCATCACGATCCCGTCTTCGTGCAGCGCCTCCAGCGCCGTCTGCATATGCCTCGGCGCGAGCCGCCCCGCCGCGCGCTCCGCCTGGCTCGGGGCGACGCTCCGTATCCCCGGCGCGGGGGGCGCGGCATGCGTCGCGAGGAGACGAGCTCGTGCTGCCGCGAGGGCGGGGCGCGCGGCCACACGCGCGCGGAGCTTGAGGAGGTGCATGGTTAACGTTGGATGGAGGCGAGGAGGAAGGGAGGAGGAAGGTAAGAGGGACGGGGACGGGAGCGCAGGGTACTTATACCGACGCCCAGGCTCCCGGTGCCCCGTGATTTGCGTTAGACGTAAGTAAATGAGATCGTAGCTGCCCAGTCCGAGAGTACCGGCCGCCCCTGACACTAGGACTCCTGCCCCGGAGGGCGGTCCGAGTCGCTCAACCTTACTGCGGCAGGGGTCGTATGCCCGAGGTATATCCAAGCGTTGATTGGGATGGCTTTGGAAATACATAACGACCGCAGGAGCAAGCCCCGAGGCGGGAGCTTAACACGCCGAATGACCCCCGCATCCGAGACTGCTTCGAGTATCGGGAAGTAACATTGTGGGTGTAGAATATCAACTCATCCTCCATGGGGTAAGAACAATTTTGGGTGTAGAATATCAACTCGTCATCCATGGGGTAAGAAAAATCGAAGGCGGGGAAGATGGGGAACAGAGGACTGAACACGTCTGTCACCGCACTTCGGCTCGCAATAATCAATCGGATAGGCAAACAACCCCGGCCCCTCACGCCGACAACACCGGACCATCTACATGGGACTTGGAGCCAGCGTCCCTTAGCCCAGACCCTTCTCCCTCCTCGCGGCGGGCAGTATGGGGAAACGTCTCCCCGCGATAGAATCCGACCCAATTGCGGTGTGACCCGGGAGGTAATAGATACCAGGGTTAGGGTTCGCATATACGGCCTGTCTCAGAACCATCCTGAGGATGCCCTGGCTTTATGAATAGCCACCCCATAGCAAGGATACAAGACGCCGGAACATACCACATGAGCAGATCGCAGTTGTGTCCAAAAACACCGTAATGTCATTCCCCCCGTGGTTCATCACATATCATCCACACTCCACTGGTAGCTTTCCAGCCGCGTCCGTTTCTTCTCGTTGATCCGCTGGAACAATTTCTTCTCAAACCCGTTACTACGATCTAGAGAATCGCGCGTTAGTGGTTGATTAGAACGAATATGTGAAGTAGCGTAGACGTACCGACACCGTCCCACCTGTATCCAGGCCTTATGCCAAATCGATTGGGCGGTGGTGGAGGGCCATTATACTCTGGCTTCTTCGGCCCTTTACCCCGCTTCTTCTACAGACCAGGAAATAGAAAGAACACATGAGCCTTCCCGCGCACATAGAATCGAGTGAACCACTTACAGTCAAGAACGCCGCCATAGGATCTTCCCACCGCTCCTGCTCCCTCAGCCGCTCATTCAGCTCCTTATCGTCCGCGTATCGCGCCAAGTCGCGCCCTCTCATCTTCTCCATCTCCTCCTTCATCTTCTCCGCCTCGCCGCGCTGCACGAGGCCCTTGCCCCACTCCATCTTGCGCGCCTCCCGCTCCTCCCGCTCGCGCTTCTTGCGCGCGGCCTCCGCCCGCTCCGCCTTCACGTCAATGCGCCGCCCAGAGGCGTCGCGGTAGACCGTCTCCTGCGCCAGCTTCGCCTCCTCGTCTTCGGCCTCTCCTGCTTTGAGCTTACTGGGCTCCTTCGGGGCGCGTTGTTTCCGGAGCTGCGCGGCAGTGACGAGCCCGCCGGTCACCTGCGCGGAGACCTCCTCGCGGCCCTGCGCGTCCACCACCAGCGGCTTGTCCTCTTCGCGCTCCTTCTCCTCCTTCTCCTTCTCCCTCTCCCGGACGGTCGTCCATCCGCTATCCGGCTCGCCCTCCACCTTGCGCTTCTTGAACGACCGGTCGGAGGCGACCACGGCCTCCTTCATCACGTCGTCCTCCTCTCCATCTTCCCCCTCAGGACCTGCTCCGAAACCTGCGTCGTCGTCTTTGATGAATGCAGCCGAGGCGGATGTGGTGGCGGTGGATGTGGTGGCCTTGCGTTTCTTCTTCTTGCCGGTCTTAGCAAGGATCGCGTCGGCCTTCGGCCCAGACATGTATCGCTCGGCAAGGTAGGCTTTGAGGGACATCGTGGGCGCGTAAAAGGGTGGGGATAGCAGACGAGAGGAGGGGGTTTGGCGTTGAAGCCTGTTCAAGCTTTCAAGAAGAAAGCGTGACGGTAACGCGTGACAAGTGTTTTGCAAAACGACGTCTTACGTCTCGATTCTTGAACCTGACGGCTAAAGCATAGGAACTCCTTTTCTCTTCTAAGCGTCTTATGGACTGGATATCTTCGACGAGGTGTATTTCTGTCTCACAAGGCTTGGAAGCTTCGAGGCTGGTCACAGTGATCAGGCACTATGGCAAGCACAGCCGGAACTTCAACGAGCTATCCGTGTCCAAAGACATGGCTATGAAAGCTTGCAGTGAAGGTCTGGCTGCTCTTTTAAATTTAACTATCATTGTTCCGCTCAGTCCCAGCCGGTACCCGTGAAGGTGCAGTTTGCACGACACCAATTCAGCTCGGGTCCCGAGGACAACCTTGTCTCACTCCGCCGGTCTCAATGGCTGGATACAACGTCAAGTATCCACATTTCAGTAGCGTCCCTCATCTCTAGGGAGGATATCTTAGCAATCTATAAGTCAGGCAGGACGTAGATGGATACCGAGCACTACTCTCCGGCAAGAATCCTTATCATAATGGCCCATTCACGTCAAGACACTTAATCCCTCCGTCCACGATGGCCACTCGATACTGGAGTATCCCTCTCAGCCGCGGGGAAAGTGCTCCCGTGGGCTCCGGTTCACTATCCCCGACGTATGATGGCTCAGCCGAAGTAATACGTTGTCCGTTTCTGCTCCAGCGTCGGCCCGGGTGACTATGCGTCGTCCACCCACGTGAAGATTGTCAGGTGGAAAGTCCAAGCAAATCCATGAACTCCGACCCCTTCTTACGATCAGAATATGTACTTCGAGCGAACTAAAAGCCTCCATCGTCGGTGGCATCTATTTGCTCGCGTTTGAGGACATGAATGATGGCGTGAGAATTGTTTGGCAATGTACCACGTTAGATATTATTCACTATTCGGACCTCGCTCCCTAGCTGGAATGGACGTTTCGGCAAGTTCTACGTGCAGCAATGGAAAAGGAACATAATTTGTGCTTAATATATTGTGACAGAGGGGCTGAGTCCGTCATCAGGGCTGATAGGGTCACCCGAGTGACGCCAAAAGCGAGACGCCTTAGACTTGGGACTACACCCCAAGACGCGAGACCAAGGGGTCTTGAAAACCTTATTTTGCCACCCCACCTGAACGCCCCCCCTGGGTACCCCACCTCGTCCCCCTTGACTTCAACGCTCGAGCATCGGTCTACACACAGTACACGTCACCGCCTACACTAGTATAATAAGGCCGTCCGCTACTCTGCTCGACACCCCGTCCTCGCTGTCTTCCCCGTCGACCACCATGCCCTTGCCGCTTCCGGCCGCGGTCCGGGTAGAAGTCTGGTAGCAAACCCCAACCCTAGGGTGTACCGCCACGGGTCAGGTGACAACGCCAGCGTCGGCGCCCGGCGTGTTGTCGCCGCCCGCTTTAGGCCTGTCGTCGTCGTCGCCGACGATGAGCATGGCTGTAGCATTTGTATGTAGTCGTAGAAATATGGAATAAATCTCATTAAATACACAAAATTCGTTTGATGGATTTGACATGTATGTGCCGCCACTTACATGCT